TCCCAGGTTCCGGCTACAGCGGAGCTGTCATTGAGCCTCGCATGTGAACTGCTCCCCTAGTGAACAAGCCAACCTGGCCAGTGGGGAGGAGGCCTGGCCAAGGGGCACTTGCCGTTCAAAGGACAAACTTGTGCAAAGCCTCGGGATGGGACATGTCCCGGTGCAGCCAGCCAGGCCTGGGGGAGGTCACTCTTTGTTCCCTCGGACACAGGTGGCTTGGATGGTGGCTGCTGGAGGCCAACAGCCACCTGAGTCAGCAGAGCTTGTCTTGGGCACTGTCCCACTTTCCCTGCCCAAGCTTGCCACCCTGGCCCACGCCTAGGGACACGGGGAGAGGAATCAGAGTGGCCACCATGCAGTGTCATGTGCAGAGCAGGGGCTGTGCCCAGGCCTATCTGAGTGCCATTCTATTCTCTGTCTGAGGGAAGAGATATCTTACCAGTCCCATTTCACAGACGGAGAAACTGAGGCCAAGAGTCAGTTCTGGCCACAGTCTCCAGTTGTGAGGCAATAGAGCTAGAATCCTTTTGTTGTTGTTGTTGTTGTTGTTGTTGTTGTTGTTGTTGCTGTTTTGGTTGTTTGGTTTGGTTTGTTTTTTCGAGACAGGGTTTCTCTGTGTAGTTTTGGAGCCTGTCCTGGAACTCACACTGTAGACCAGGCTGGCCTCGAACTCACAGAGATCCGCCTGCCCCTGCCTCCCAAGTGCCGGGATTAAAGGCGTGCGCCACCACCGCCCGGCGGAATCTATTTTTAAATTGCCTTTATTTACTGTATGTGTGGGTGGGTGCATACACACCACAGAGAATAACTGTGGGAGCTGGTTTTCTCCTTCCACCATGGTCGGGCCTCCAGAACAGAACTCGGGTCGTCAAGCTTGCTGCCGTCTCACCAGCTCCGGAGCTGGGATTAGAACCAAGCATTTTGACTGTGGGGTCCTCAAGAAGGGTTGGGGTGGCTAGTCAGGGTTCAGGCTGAAATCACTGGCTTTTCCAGGTGGACAGGTGAGAACCGAGCTCCAGGACAGACTTAGAGGTTGCCATGGGTCCTGTGGGCCCCAGCTTTGACCTCAGGGATGCTTGGTCATCCCAGAGGCTGTGTGGATTGGCCCAGTCATCATCACCGGCTTTCAGACACCCTGGGTAGGAGGCTTTGCTTCCTAGTTTGGGGAATTCACAGACGGGTGCTGACTTTGTGGGGCGCCAAACGGGGTGTCTGTTTCACAGCTGGACAGTGGCGGAACCCCAGGCCTCTGCATGTCAGGCAAGAACTCTACCACCGAGCCACAGGCCAGCCACAAGGCCATATTTATAAACTGCACACAGCCTATCATCTTATACTTGAAGATAAAGGTAGGAAGATCAGGGGTTCAAGGCCATCCTTAGCTACATAAGGAGTTCACAATCAGCCTGGCATACCTGAAACCCTGGCTCAAAAATAAACCAAAACCAGGGGCTGGAGAGATGGCTCAGCGGTTAAGAGCACTGGCTGCTCTTTCAGAGGTCCTGAGTTCAATTCCCAGCACCCACACGGTGGCTCACAACCATCTACAGTGGGGTCCAATGACCTCTTCAGGCATGCATGTGGACATGCAAACAGAGCACTCATACATAAAAATAAATAAATAATTTTTAAAAATTGTAAATAAACTAAAACCGACCACCACCACCATCTGCTGGCAAACTAAACAAGAGCCTGGCATGTTTCCGCCCAGCTCTTGGAGGCTGAGGCAAGAGGAACTCAGGTTCCAGGGTCAGCCTGGCCTACAGAGGGAGACTCTGTCTAGAACACACACACCAACACCAAGGAAGACGCTGTGAGCTCACACAGTAGGGCCTCCTGTGGAGGAAGCTCTGCACATTCCATCTCTTTCCATCTCTTCCCTCCCTGGCTCCTGGCTGTGGAGGAATGCCCCAACACTGGGCAATGTATAAAGGCATGGCTCTGGCCCTCTGCTCTCTGGGGACAGCCCTGTGACCTCATTCCAGGGAAGCAGTTCCCAGCATATTATCAGGCAATTGCCATGGAGACCTTCCCCTTTCTGGTGCATGAGCTCCAGAGAGAAAAACTGCAGCCCTTGTGGCTGTTTGAAGCATCTTGCCGGCTGAGATCGCCTGCTTTCCCCCAGACAGAATGTTCTCCGAGCGAACACAGTGCCATGTGTCCATTGTTCTCTCACAGACTGGTCCAAGTGTCTGGGGACAGCTGTGTATACAGTAGGCACTTAGTTCATACTCCTCAAGTGACAGATCGCATCCGAACCTACGGCCTAGGATGGACCAGTACTCAGCTCTCAGAAAATGCCCCCAGGGACCCAGATGGCAGGCATTTGCGTCACACAGTCTGGTTTCTCTTGTCTTGTGTCTTAAGGAGGAGGTGAATGTGACAGCAAGGTGAGGTGACGGAGGACAGGTCACGCAGCAGGCACCATATTCTGACATTGGGAACCCTTGAGTCACCAAAAGGGTGGTGGCCCTGGTGAGATGAGCACTCATGGCTCCCAGATCATGGCTCCTGCTCCAGGGTGGGAAAGTGACTCTGCCCAAATCACACAGCACACCGAGGCCAAGGCAGGGCCTGACTGAGGGGCATCTGGGCCCCCAGGTTCCACTCGCTGAGTCTTCCTGGGTTTATCTGTTTGCAGACCCTGGCGGGAGTGATCGCAGCCCCTCCTGGCCTTTGTCACTGGGTTTTCAAAGTGGACACAACTCAAGAATTTCCCTCTTTTTCCTGTCGTTGCCAGGGACTGCCTCACACACACCACAGGGGCCCAGGAGCAAGAGAGGCGCCTGGACTGCCATGCGACATGGCCCTGAGACCGGAGGGAAAGCCATCTACAGCTGTGACAGGATCCCATGCAGCACACAGGTAGCTGTGGGGAACAGAGCCACCGCCAGATGGTAACTGGGCTCCTCGCTTGTGTGGGGAGTGACCAGGATGTATGCCCTTGCCCTCCTGAGAGGCAAGCTGAGCCTCATGGTACCTGTCCCTGTCCCACAGGGCTCAGCAAGATGTTCATCTGTAGGGGACACACACACACACACACACACACACACACACACACACACACACACAGACCGAGACAGACACAGAATGAGACAGAGACATAGAGACAAGGACAAACAGGGAGAGACAGAAACAGAGACAGGACAGAGGAAAAGGACAGACTAAGGCGAAACAGACAAGGACAGAGACATGCGCCCTCGAGTGGCCACCCTGGACTATGCAGGTTGGCGACTGGAGACCCAACCTTCCCCTCTCTGGCCACCAGATGTCTTGATTCTGGGTAGCCCAAGACAGTTTTTCATTTTTCAAAAGTCATGAGGTTCTCGATGCTTCTAGTGAACGAGACCTCACACACTCTGTCCTCCACACCTATGTCACACATGTGTCTCCAGCCTCCTGTACCCCTCTGCAGTCCCTCTGCCCCAGGCAGGGGGGTCTGAGCACGGTCTCTGTCGCCCTCTGGTGGTCACAAACAGGGCAGACTGGGACTATGCTGCTGTACTGGAAGAGCTGGGGTTCCTGAGGAAATTGATCCCTTGAGAGAGAAGACCCCAGACAGACTGATGCAGGGATGTACCAATCCACTGGCTAGCAGATGCAAGGTTCAGCCATTCGTGCACCCAGGATCTGGCCACATCCTTGGGGCATTGACGCCCCCGCCCCAGGCAGAAAAGTTACAAGCAGTCAATGAATGGGTCCAGGGGCACAGGAGGTGGATAGGTACCCTGTGGGGGTGCTTCCTCTGCAGATTGGAGCAGTAGCCCCTGAGTGAGCCTTACCTCCCATGCCGGAGTGACTCATCTGCACATCCAATGTACAGAGACCCCCATTTCCAATAAGGCTATGTTCTGAGACCTGGAGTGGACATGCACTTTGGGGAGACACTTTTCAACCCAGCAAGCGGCCCAGAGCGGAGGGAATCGAACAGGGCTCGGGACTGTGGGCCAGGAGACACAGAGCACCCCCAACCTGACATTACTCAGAGAGAAAACCACGGGAGTGGCAGAGTCCCTGTGAGAGGCAAAGGCCGTGGCAGTCCCCGAGGGTACAGTACCTCAAAGGACATGCAGAGATGTACCTATGTGCTGTCTGGGGGAACCTGCCTCCCAGAAGGGGAGCATAACACAGGTGCCACTGAGACGGACACACAGGTGTGCTCCTGAGGGCCAGCTGCCCTAGGAAGCCAGCCTCCCAGTGCCCCGCCCCACCCCTGCCTCTTCCTCACAGCACCAGAGGCTCCGTCTCCCTTATTAGGGAATTGTCTAGTTTCCAGGGAGATCAGGTGCTTTGCTTCAGGTCACACAGCAGAGCTAGGGTGTGGGATTTGAACCTGCTGTGGCTGATCTTAAAGTCCCTGCCTGAATAAGTGTTTAAAAGCAAACCCCAGCATGGTGAGAGCTGGAAGCCACACAGAGCCAACCCAGTGTGACAGTCACCCCAGTGACTGCCTTGTTTTCTCCGCCTCCGCCACCAGGCCTGGGTATGACTCTGGCTGCTTTGTGTCGTAAGTGAAATGCCAGGCTGTGACACACAGACCTCTCACCATGAGTAAGACCCACCTGGGGCAGTGAGGTTTTTAGTGTGCTGACGCTGGGTCACCGTTCCCAACCGTAACAGTGGGAGTCGCATACTCAGGGAGACCCAGGACCGCCTGATAGGCTAAGCGCTGCTCTGAGCTGCTGTCCCTCGCTCCTCCCATTCACAGGCAAGTCCTCTGCCCGCCTCTGCCCCCTCCTTCACCGTCTGCTTCTCCACCCCACCCTTACACCCTTAACAGGGACACCAGCTCCTAGGCCCCGCCCACTGGCCCTCTGCCTTGGGACCCACACATGCAGCGGGGCCCAGGGTGAAGTCCCAGGCAAGCTGCCTCCAGGGCTCTCCCTGTCCCCTCCTGGTGAACACAGACGCTTTGAACCCCAAGAAGCTCCATATTTGAAAGCACGCATGAGGAACCTCTCTGTCCCCTTCTTCCATTTCAGAGTGCAGTTAAGCCCAAAGCGAGCCCTCCTCACCCCACAGGGGAGGCCCTGGTTGCCCAGCAACCAGCTGGGCTCCTCCTAGGGCTTGCCTGGGATGGCCCGTTGCCTGGCAACCAGGCAGCAGAGTCCCTTGAGCCCAGCCAGACCACACAGTTGGGCCCAGCCTTGGCTGGCTTCTGTCTGCCTAGGGGACCCCTGGGACCCTGTTTTTATTCCCCGAGATCAAAGCAACAAGTGCCTCTGTCCACAATGAATGTCGTCCTCTCCAGGTGAGCAGCCTGAGCTGCTGGGAGGGAAGTGAAGTGCTGGGGGGATTCTCACGGTCTACGGTGTCAGAGGAGAGGGCAGGTGAGCTCCTGCCCTCCCTGCTCAAGCTGGAGGGTGAACAGGGCTTGGACCACAGAGGTTTCCGGAATCCAATCTGCCGGCCTCGCTTTTGCTTCCTGAAGACCTGGTGCAGCGGCTCATGGGTCTGTTCCCTGCTTCCCACACTTGCTCCTAGAAAGCCCTTCACAATTCAGGCCCCAGACCTTGCCCTTGGGAGCCCTGCCCACTGCTCTGCCCAATGCCCCAGGTTCACTGTCCCCAGCCCTCCCTGATCAACTTTGAGTCTCCCTGTGGCTCAGACGTCAGGTGCCTTGGATGTACCTAGTGTGCTCCTTGAAAGCTGGCTTCCCAGTCGCAGCCCATGGGGCCTGATTCCCAGAGCCTGGGACCTGCATGTCTAACCTGTGTGTGAGTGATGCTGCCTTGGGGTCTGGCCTGCTGTGTGCCCTTGGACAGGATGCTTTGCCTCTCCGGGCCTCAGTTTATTTGATTTAAAAATGGAGGCAGCAACATCTTCTAGGGAGGCGTGAACAGAGCATTTACAAACTACCAAGTTAAGGCTCATTAGGAGGGGTGAGATGATGCCCCCCCGCAGGTTCTGTTGGGAGGGGGGCGTGAGGGGCTTGGGTTCTAGAGAGGGAGAGCTGTAAGGGACAGCAACAGCCTGGGGCTGAGGGGGAGGGAAACTATGGAGGGCATAGTGCTCCTAGGAAGGCTGAGTCCGTGTGTTATCACTGAACACCGGGTGTGGGTAGGTTATGGGGAAGGGGAGGGCGGGGGGCGGACAAGGATAGGTCATGGTAGAGGTGGCATGAGCCCTATAGGTGTGTCAGGGAGGGCAAGGGTGTGGAGTCTGTTCAGCGGTCTGTAAGGTGCTCCATGGAGGAGCCCAGGGCTGGTGGGGAGGGAGGAGGGACCAGCCAGAAGAGTATGGGAGAGCAAGGGTCCAAATACCCTGCAGATAGCTTGGTGGGGACATATGGCACCTTGCATGTGTCAGAGCTGAGCATGCAGTACCCAGTGGGGGCCATCACGGCCGTCCACAACAATGCCTCCCTACCCTGGAACCAAATGGACTGCAAGAAATGAGATACTGGGAAGGAGAGAGGGTGTGCAAAACAGTCCTCTTAAAAATAAGTCATTTATTTGTGTGTCTATAACATGTGTGTGGCTGGCTGTGTGTGCCTGTGCACACTTGAGCAGAGGCCAAAGGAGGATGGTGGGTGTCCTGTCTATGACTCTCCACCTTATTCCCTTGAAACAGGGTCTCTCACTGAACCAGGAACTAGGCTGGCAGCAAGCAAATCAGTCACCCTCCTGTCTCTGTGCCCTACAACAATGCTGGAGTTACATACCAGTGCATGTGGGGTCACTCCTGATCTCTGTCTCTCTCTCTCTCTCTCTCTCTCTCTCTCTCTCTCTCTCTCTCTCTCTCTCTCTCTCTCTCTCTCTGAAACAACATTTCTCTGTGTAATCCTGGCTGCTCTGGAACTCTCTATGTAGGCCAGGCTGGCCACAGACATAGAGATCTGCCTCCCCAGTGCTGGAATTAAAGGCATGCATGACCATGCCCAGCTCATATTTTTATATTTTCAGTTATCTATGTGTGTATACAGATGTGGGTTTGTGCACATGAGTGCAGGTGGCCATGGCAGCCAGCAGAGGGCATCAGATCCCCCTGGAGTTGCAGTTACAGGTGGTTGTGAATTGGGTTTTTCTGTAAGAGCAATAGGCATGCTTAACCACAGAGCCTTCTCTCTAGCCCCTCCCCACTATTTAACTCAGGCACTGGATCTGAACTTAGGACTTCGGTGGTGTTTTTTAACCCACTGAACCATTTCTCCAGGCCTCAAACTATCTGTTAGCCTCAAATAGATCTCCAAAAGGTCATTCATTTAACCCAAAGCTTCTAAAAAGGGAGGAAAGAGTGGACAGCATGGGGGAGGGGCCCACGGGAGTGGAGGGGGCTGGAGGAGGAGCCTCTGCGGTTGATACAGTGGTGTGCACAAGACTGTGGGGTGCTGCACCCCTTCACAGGCCCCAGGGACAAGGGGTCCCACCTGAGTTCCATCCACTGCTGCTCAGCCATGGGACACAGGCAGGCCTTGTCTTCTGCCTCAATGGGCCCAAGATATCACTCAGAACTGTCCAGGGACCAGGTACTTGGATGGTGATTGCCACATTGGAGAGGTGGGTATAGTGGCTCCAGTGACCATGACCTTGCTTGCACTTGGTGTCATCACCCCCACCCAGGGACAGTCAGGTGAGGGCCATGGAGAACACCGTGACCAACGCGGGAGAGGTATTTTGGTCAGTTCTGCTCGCTGCTGGCCTCCTACACGCGCAAGACAGCCCGGCTGCGCGACAAGGCTGACCAGCTGGTGAAGCAGCTGATGGACTTTGCCAACACCGAGAACCCGGAGTTGCGGGCTACCATGAAAGACTTTGCGGAGGACCTGGCCAAGGTGCAGGATTACCGGCAGGCAGAGGTGAGCATGGCAGCCCGGGTAAGGAGTGAGAGCTGGCACAGTCTCTCCCCTCATGATCACACTGGTGACAGGGGTAGAGAGCTGGAAGGCTTCACTGTATTGGACAAGGACCACTCGGGCCAAGGGGACCTGGAAGTCTATGGGGGGCGGGATGAGGGCCGTGGATTCCCGGGCGTAGGGAGAAGATGAAGGAGATGGCAGTGGAGTAATGTCTTTTCAGAAACATCCTGTGTGATTGGCAGAGTGGAGGATGCAAGAACACTGTGGCTGAGCATTACAGAGAGGTGCACACAGCATGGGCTGTGTGACAGACAGCTCCTGCTGCACCCACATACAGTCAGGCAGGTGTATGCTCTTGAAACAGAAGGTGACCGTCCCTGAAAGAGGCTGCTGTGCTTCTCTGATGGTGCGTGGAGATGTCACATGGTCACTGGGTGGCTGCCTATGCCCACTGTCCTTTTGCGGGGGACAAGGTCACTCTGTAGCCTAGTCTGGCCAGCCTCCTGCCTCAATCTCCTGTGTGGCAGGATTACAGGTGTGAGGCACTCTTCCCTGCTCTAACCACTGGGAAAATGGAAGCTTCTGGCTCTGTGCTGGGCAGTTGAGTGCCACCAGTAGCCCCACCCAGCTAAGGCCTCTGGCCTCTCCTCTCTGCCTTCCATGCAGAGAGCTGGCCCTAAGCCTAAGAAAGAGCTCATAGAGTCACCAAGAAGGACATTATGTTCTTAAAGGGTTTAGGACATCAAAGGGACAGAGAAAGGAATTGCAACTGAGTTTTCTGAAAGTAGGGAAAGGGTGGGGCTGTCCCTCCATGACCCTTTACCATGGCACTGTCTCTCTCAAGGGTCAGGAATGGCCTAGTGGGGCTCCTGCCACTCCTGGTCCTTTGTAAAACCTGATCCCCGAGATGCTAGGAGCCATGACAGGAGGACAGACCTCTCTAGCTGTCTTGCCCAGACACTGCTCCCCCACCCCCAGGCCTCCTCCATCAAATCCAGGACTCCTCTGCAGCTGGTGCAACCCCAAGACCCAGAGCAGCACCACTTTACGATTTTGCCGGGCACAGGGGTGTATTAACTTATCATTGCTGTGCTCAAACACCCAACAAAGCAACCTAAGGCAGGGAGGATCTATTCTGGCTCACGTGATGGGGAAGCCATGGCGGTTAGGATGAGTCAACCGGTCACATCACATCCACAGTCAGGATGCAGAGAGAGATGAGCGCTGGTGCTCAGCTCGCTTTCTCCTTTTTATTTGGTTCTAGACTCCGGCCTAGGGAATGGCGCCACCCACTCCTAGGGTGGGTCTTCCCATCTCAGCTAATCCATTCTAGAAATTGCTTCCACAGACGAAGCCAGAGTTTGTCTTCTAGGTCCTGTCAAATTGCCAATCAATGTAAACCATCATGGGTGAGGGGGGGACCTTCCCCTTTCTCTTGCCTTCCTAAACTGTCAGATGCTAAGAGAACCTGGAATCTGAAGCCTGGGATGAGGTCTGAGGGTCTTGAATGGCTTCCTGTGCCCACTCACGGGCCCCGCCAGTACTAGAGGTCGTGAAGAGCAATCAGCTTGGAATCCCACACCAGTCTTTGCTTTGTGCAACTTCCAAGCAGCTCAACACCTTGAGGCAACAACCTGGAGCCCAGAACTGCATTGGGCCCAGAAGAGGCCAGGGCCGGAAGTCCTGTCTCTGCCCTGCTGGGACCCTCCACACAAACTGTCCCCAGAACATGTCAACCCCCCCCCCCCAGTGATACCTCTAAGTGCAGTGTCTGGTGTTGTCCTCCCAGACTCTGCAAGTGTCCCACTGACCTGCTGAGACACCCTGGGGCACAGTCACTGTCCCAGTGCGCAGTTGGACATGCCAACTTAGTGGGAATAAGCACGTGGCCAGAGCCTGTGAGGGCAGAGCCCGGCCTCTGCCATTTCAGGTGTGGGCCCTGGGTGTGTCCTCTGGGGGTGCAGGTGGCTGGTCATGGAGCTGTCTTCTCTATTTTCCTTATGCTGCCACATGTGCCCTGCAGGTCGAGAGGCTGGAGGCCAAGGTCATCAGCCCTTTGAAGCTCTACGGTGCCCAGATAAAGCAGACCCGGGTGAGCTGGGCACACCTCAAGGTGCGCAGGGGTGGGGCCTGGACCCTCAGGATCCCTAGGAAATGGCCCTCTTTTTTTTTGTGTGTAGGCAGATATCAAGAAATGTAAACGTGTCCAAAATAATGAGATCAAACAACTGGAAAAGCTGGAGAAACTGAGGCAGAAGTCACCCTCAGACCGTCAAATGATTGTATCCTTTTTCCTGCTAGGCAGGGTGACCATCCCACACAGTGTACTGAAGGGCTTGGGGACCTGGATTCAGTTGGCAGGGGCTGCCAAGGGGGTACCACCTGCAGGCCACCTGGCTTCACCTGAATCCTTAACAGTCCTCCTCAGTCCCAGGTGAGTGTCATATGTTACATTTCCATCTGGGCAGGCAGCATCTCTGCATCTTAGACAGATAACGGAGACTCCATGGAATGGTAGGTAGGTGAGATTTACCCACGGAGGCTGGCGCACAGGTGAGTCAGAGCAGCAGGGTGAGGCAAAGGGAGGGTTTGCTGAGGGTCAGGAGATCTGGGCTCTGTCCAGCAAGCCACCCGGTCATGGGGTCACCTGCATCCTGATCACAGGGTAACCACTGCCAGCCCCGAGCCCTGCTGCTCAAGCAAGCTCAGGCAAGCGTGGGTATGAATACGAGTCCCAGCGAGACGGCGGCACTGCCATCTTCACGGCTCCAGCCTGCCTGTGAACTGGGTGCAGGACTGTGGAGGACTTGTCCTCTGCGCCCTGCTTGTCACTGTGAAACTGGCCTCATTCAGAGTGGCCCTTCATGGACCTAAGTCATAGTTTCACTTTGACCCCTAGGGACATTTTGCATTTTGGGTTGTCATGTGGGAAGGTGACAGAAAGTCATTGGCTGGCTTGTGCTCTCTCTCTCTCTCTCTCTCTCTCTTTCCTTCCTCATAGATCAGGAGTTAGAATCCACTGAGGGGCTCTCTGGTCTCATCATGGGTAGGCAGGCTGCTCCTCTGGGAATCTAGGGGATTAGCTCCACCTCTTACGGTGTCTAGGCCACAGTCCCACTGGGCTCCTCAAGCTCTTGTCCCCTCCCCCACCGTTCCTCTGCAGCCACACCTTCCTCCAGCTCCCCTCCAGCTCCCTCCTGTTGCTCTATCAGGGAATTCAGGATCACTACGAACCTCAGGTCAGGTGCATCAGCAGCCCACAGGCCACTGTAGCCTAGCATGCCCTTTACCATATCTGGTGACCTGTAGACATGACATGGGGTTTAGGAGGTGGACATCTTTGGATTCCCCATCCTGGTGCCCGTTCTGTAACATGAGGGTCACTACATCTGGAGCAAGGGAATCAGGCATGGCGTTCTGTCTGGAACAAGCACCTCTGACTTCTACCCCAGCTCCCACCAGTGCCCCTACCTCCTGGCCACCCATCTCTTTAGATCCCAGCTCCCCTCCCTTATTGGGGGGGCTTTCTGGGTACCAGCCCCTAGCTCCCTTGTCCCACCATTTCACAAACATTTAGTTGGTGTTATGGCCCCATTCTAAAGAAGAGGAAAGTGAGGCCCATGGGGGTAATTTGCTCATGTCACACATGTCCTTAAATACCAAACTCAGTTCCAGGGAAGGCTGCTGAGGTATTGGTGTTGGAATGGAGCCAACTTTGCCATGTGGAAAGGGAACAGGAGCTTTGCCCTGCAATTGTCCACAGGCAGGAATCAGTTACCAAGAACATTTAGCCTCCATGGAATAAAGCTCAGACTAGCAAATGCCTATCTTGGATTGATGATTGTTGCTGACAGAGTTGGGGATGAGTCTGGGGTCCTCAGGGCCTCCCACATACTGAGCATGGGCTCCATTGTGGAGTGGCTCCCCACCTCTCACCATCCAATTCTCCCAACTTTGCAAGCATAACCGTCTCCCAACAGGCAAGGAAACTGAAGCTCAGAGAAGTTAAGCGACTTGTCTGAGGTCACACAGCTAAGAAGCAGATCTATCCAGCCCCAGTGACCACCCTTTTACCATGGTTCTGCCTGATCGTTTCCTTAATGACCAAGTTAGCAAGAGACTGCATGAGGCAGGAGAAACTGCCCCAAAGGAGGTGGTAGGACTGAGAACAACCCCGAACAGTGTGTAGGGGCCAGGACCACCCTGTGATACTTTCTACTTCTCGTGTTCCTGAGGCCAGGCGGAGACCAGTGCACAGAGAGCCTCCGTGGACACTAACCGCTCTACCCACCACCTGGCAGAGACAGTGGATGCCTTCCAGGAGCAGAAGCTAAAAGACCTCCGGGTAGGCAGTGGCAGCCTTTTGTGAGTGTGTGGATGCACGAGAATGGGTGTGAATTCCCGTGTTTGAGAGTAGGTACTCATGCAGTGTATGACCACATGACCCTCAGAGGCCAGGGCTCTGGGGAGAGCTGATCCTGGCTGCAGATGACAGGTTATCTGCTCGGGGTAGGCTGGCCTCACCCAGCTGCTCAGTGCTCTGGACACAGATCCCAACAAGGCGGATTCTGAGGCACGGTTCTGCCCACATTGTCCCATTCCTGAACCTACTCTTCTTTCTCACCTGTGTCCACAAGAGATCCTAGCTCCCCGTTGAAGCTCACAAAGCCCCTCTAGGAAGCAGCCATGTTGAGGTGGTCCGAGGCAGGCAGGGTCTCCTTTATCTTCACCAGAACCCCCCTCTTCCACGAGAACCATGGGATACTAGGTCAAGTCCCACGTCCTTCAAGAGATCTCAAGGAACTTGCTCTCACAGGACTAACTGACCACGGATGTCCCTGCCTTCCCCACCCACCAGTCCTCTCTTTTCCACTCTTCAGCCCCAGGAGGCCCTTGACAGACAGCTCTGATCTGTCAGTCTTGGGATTCACACCCTTTGATGACTCACCTGGTCCTAAGGTCAAAGAACAAGCCCTCCCAAGGCAGCAGCCTGGGCCTTCCAGCATCCTCTACTGTCACCCCCACCCCAGGCTCAAGGCCCAAGCTCCTTCCTACCTCAGGGACTTAGCACAGGATGTGCCTTGTGTCAGGCTCCTGCATTGGGTTTACCCCTCTCATCTCTGAGGTCCAGAAGATCAGCTCGACTCCAGACACCTGGCCTCTAGATCCAGGGCCTGGGATATGGTGGGTACTTGAGAAATATTTGTGGAATGAATGAGTCAGTATATGAGTGAATGAAGCTGGGAACGGTGCAGGCTGTCTAGATTAGGAGGCCTTTCAAAAGTGGCCACTGTTAGTGTGGCGTGTAAGGGACTTGGTACCAATGGGGTCTTCTTGCCTCTAGGTAGAGGGCTATCTCCAAAAAATTTTTAAAAGGCTTGGGGATGTGGCTCAGCATCCACGATGTATGTGCCCCGTGTGGTGCCGCTACCCTGACTAGGCTTCTCTCCCACAGAGAATCTTCTCGGACTTTGTGACCATCGAGATGGTCTTCCATGCAAAGGCAGTGGAGGTGTATTCCAGTGCTTTCAGGACCCTGGAGAGCTACGACCTGGAGAGAGACCTGCAGGTGGGTCCGGGGCTTGTCTGTGCCTTTGTGGGTTTCCACCTAGCTCGAGGGCTTGCTCTGATGAGCTACTTCAAACATTGGGTCCGAGTGCCACCCCGTCGCGGAATCTTCTCCTGGTCACCTGGCATGTCACCTGCTCAGCATCACAGGCCTGTTGAGTACTGAAGAGAAACAGCAGGGACAAAAGCTTTCTGTGGCTGGCACTCAGTTCTCAGCGCAAAGCGCTGACTGTCCCCAGCCATGCTGATTAGATTCTCAGCAAGCTTTATCTGCAGAGCTTGGCCCCAAAACTGATGCTGTGAGCCAATCATCTGTCCCTTTATCTTGTGGCTTTGGGTCACAGTCTGGAACCGGGCTATTTCAAAGGCCTCTTTCTGTATGTGCAGATGGTGGAGGGAAGTAGCTATCCTCCAGATACAGGAAAATGGTAAAGGTGCCTTGGGAGGCAGCGTGGGGCTCTATGGGTGTGGAGCTTGGTGACTAAACCAGGAGTCCACAAAGCCCACAGCCTGGCACCTAACCCAGGTTATCTGTAGTGAATGGTTCCCACCAGCCAGCAGCCTAAGACATGGGGAGCACTAAGACCTTGTGGGGCCAAGAGGAAGTCACTCTGTATGCTCCTGCCTGGATGTTACAGGTGAACCACTAAGGCTGGCACTCAAGAACAGAATGGAAGATCCATCCAAGGGTTTTTACAAAAGCTTTAAAACCACACAGAAGGCTACAGAAAAACCCCAGGTTCTCCAAAACTTCATTCATCTCTATGGCCCATGATAGCCTCAATCATTATCCTCCTGCCTCAGCCTCCTCAGTGCTAGGATTACAGGCATGTAGCTCAAGTCTCAGCTCTACAATATTCTTTCAGGGGTTGAAAGTGATTTCCAACCAGTGATTGTCCTGTGTGACTGTGTTACCTAGTGTCTTTGGGCCTTAGTTTTTCCATCTGTTTGATGGGATTTGAACACCCCCTTGGGGGCTGCTGTGGGGGTCCATAAAATAGGAATTACCCATAGATGCCTCATAGCTTTCTAGCTTTGCTCTCTACTCCTCTCCTGTGCTTTCAAGCTGGATCCAACCACCTTGGTCTTTCCTTGACAGGACTTCAGAGCCAAGATGCATGGAACTTATGGGCACAGCGAAGCTCGGCCGCTGGCAGATGCCAGCCCCTCTCTATCTGTCCCTTGGCCTCTGGCCAGCCAGGTGAGCACTTACACATCATGGGAGTTAATCGAGGGACAAAGTGAAGAAACCAGGGACGTGGATGGATGGCTGACAACCAGAGCAGTGGTCCCTGCTGGGGAAGGCCTGGCAGCATCCGCCTGCATGTGCCCACCACCCCAGAAACATGCTGAGGGGAGTGCGCTGGAGGGAGGGGTCTGGCTTGACAGGTCTGACCTGACCCCACTTGGGCCACAGGCAGATTCAGAACGTCTCAGATGTTAGGAATAAGGCACACTAGTCAAGTGTCACCTGACAGTTCAGGAACGGCTCGCTCTCATCTGCCTTTGGCTAACAACCTCAGGGAAACTGGCAGTGTCTGCAAGTAGGGTGTGGCCAGGGCAGGCATGGCCCCAGAGTCATGGTGAAGAGAGATGGTCACTGTGAGGGGGGTGGCCACTGCCAGGGGAAGTGACCACTGTGAGGGAGGTGGCCAGTGCCAGGGGAAGTGACCACTGTGAGGGAGGTGGCCAGTGCAAGGGGCTGTCACTGAACTTCATGAATGTCTTTTCTAAGTACAGTGAAGGAACTGGGCTTTCTCCAAACTCACTCTCCCTGGCTGGTAGTCATGCCCTCTCTTGGCCTCACCTGCTAAGTGGCCTGTGGCCATAGTCACTCCTTAGAGCGGTGTAGGAGGGCCAACTCTCCAACTCAGGGCTTGTCATCGCCACTCCTGGTTTGGATGTTGTGGCTGTGACTTTTCTTTCTGTCACTCAGAGTGTTCAGAGCACCATGGCACACCAGGGGAAAGATGAGGAGGAGAGTGAGGCTGACTCTGTGGAGGAGATCCCCCTGGAGGACCTCAAGGGACAGCAGCAGGGACGCCGTGACTAGGAAGAGGATCCTGTGGCAGGTGGAAGGCCTAGGCTGGCCTGGACCTTGGTGGGCTCTGCTGGTGTCCTCGGTCAGGGATCCCCGGGGCCTCTTTCTTTATCAGCACAGTAGACTGCTCTGCAGACTCAGATTCCTGGTGTCAGTGAAAGACATGTGACTTTCAACCGCACCCTTGCTTTGTCTGCTTCCTGCCTTCATCTGGGGACAGGAGTCTCCACACTATGTTAATACTAAAGCATGGTACATTAGTTTTGGGGGTCTTCCCAGTCAAGTACCACCAACTGGGAGGATCCTCAGGCACCTGTCCAGCTTCTGGCAGGTGCGGCCTGTTCCTGTGGCCATGACACCCAATGTCTGCTTTTGATTCTACATGGTGTTCTCCTTAAGTGAATCAAGGTCTGTGCCCAAATGCCCCCTTCTGTAAGCTCAGGACCCCTGCTGTGGCTGCCTCCCAAACCTTCCACAAGGACCATTTGCAGGCTCTGCACCCAAGGACTTAACTCTTCAGTGCATGAACTTGGCAGATGGGCACACATCTCAGTCATTACGCAGACATGACATGATGTATACGGTGGCCATGGGGCCATAAACACACAGAGGTCCACAGTGGGGGTAGGTAGTGGATAGGTGGACACCTCCAGGAGCATGTGTGGAGTGATCCCTTGGCATACTCCTCAAGGTATCTGAGGGATCTGTTCCCTAGGAAGAATGAGGCCATCGTGAGCATGCCAAGGTCCTAGACTCATGTGAGAGAGGAGGATGTCTCTGTCTTTTACACCTTGGTTCCACAGACAACTTGGGTAAGCCTTCAGGCTTGATCACCACCTAGGCATTAGGATGCCCCTGACCCTGCCTCCTCTCTGAGCCAAAGCACCCCCACCCCCTCTCCTACCTGGGAGTAACAGGTGTCAGACCCCGATTTGGCCCCACATGGCACGTGGTGGTCAGGTCTAGGGAGGCCCACATGTCCAAGCAGCAGGCCCACACTCTGTCCTCAGGCAAACTCTAACCCAGCCTCTGAGTCTAGTCAGCCAAGTACAAGTGGGGGTGGGGGGGTACCTATTTCTGCGAGGCCAGTGACGTGACTATGTATTCCGTGAAGTCCTCACAGATATGTGAAAACAAGCTAATCTGACTTCTTTTTAAAAGATAATTTATTTCAGTTTCCACCTCCTGACAAGCCAAGGTACTATATATATATGGATACACATTTTTTTTTTCTTCACAGGAAACAGCACTGCCTGAGATCTTCGACCTCATAACTTTCTCAACCTTAATTTTAGAACATGACCTGGCAGGGCACAAAGTTGTGTAACTAACATATAAAACACAGCATCACTGGGGGCTTCTGGCAACAAATGGGTGTGGAACCCCAAGAGAGAACAGACTGTGCAGGTGGAGTCCCCACAGAAACTGCACTGGAAACCGGGTATAGCCTAGGCAGCCGATGGTCCAGGTCCTGACATACGCTCCATGGGATACATGCCTGCTGTCTGAGACTAGTATCTCCCAACAGTCTAACTCATCCGTCCCAAGGTATCCCCATTTGAATGAAGTGACAATCTCAGACCACTAAGCTAGTGCCTCTTGCAAGAGTGGTGGTGAGTCAACCTTCTTCCTCAAGCAGGGTCTCTTTCCTCCTTTCCATGAATATATCTATCATCTAGGAGTAAGGATGGGCCAGGGTCAGCGTAAGCTCAGGATCAAAGCCAAGGCAATTCATGGACGGGGTTGGTTCTAGATAAAGTGCTATCTCTAAAGTTGTAGCTTAGGTGAGCAAGGCTTGCAGCTGGGCCCATGCCACTTCCTGTCAGAGCCTGGAGTCTACAGTGAAGCTGGTCCCCCAAATCACTAATTTCCTGAGGAGTCCCCTGAACACAGCCTGACTGGGGTGGTGCTTCCAGCTCTGTGCTCATCTGCTCTTCAAAGCTCAGACCAGTTGGTACATTGGTATAAGCTGCCCTGTCACCCTGCAGCTGGGCAAACTGGCCCCCACCACACCTTGGACTCCATTCCTCACCAGGAGCAGGTGACCCAGAGACTCCAAGGGAATTATGGTACTGAATGAAGGCCTTGCAGGAGCCTGTCACAGAAGATGGCCTTAGTAGGGGTGTGTTCACCAGATGTGAGAAGCCTGGATAAGATAGGTCTACTCACATCTTGACCTAACAGTGTGCTCCTGTTCCTGGCCTGATGAAGTGGAGTGCAGGAGCCCAGCCTGCAAAAGGCCTGTCCAGTCAACGAGGTCCACTCTGTGGGCATCTACTGGCAGCTTCTCATGCTAAACAAACCTGAGGCTGTGGCTGCGAGGCTGGATCTGAAGGACACATGGGTGAAGGCAGCTCAGCCCTTAGCAAGGGCTCTGCAGAGCTGGCTTGGAAGGTGGGAAGAGTGGAGGTAGGAGCCTGGAACCAAGGACCCTCTGCTGAGGAGGGTTCTCCTACCGTTCCCCCGAGGCTATGGGGCCAGTGCCACCCCCTAAAGTCCCTTCCTACCGTGTTCCACACAAGGATCCTCCTGGCTGTCCGACTGCAGTCTGGGAACTGGAATAAAGCTGCTCTAGCTGCGCCAGCCCAGAATGAAAAACCAACTAGTCAGTGTGACCCAGGAAGGTTAAGGTTGAGTGTGAGTCTACGGCCTGGGACTATTAAGGTCACCAGAGTCAGACCTCAGCTTTTCACATAGTTTCCAGCAGAGAAGTTTGGGTCCCTCACACCAGTAACCTGGAGTGTCAGGTGTTTCTAGAGTAGTGCACTGTCCCTGGAGCCTACAGTGTCCCTGGGCTACAGAAACAGGGACAGAACACTGACTGCTTCCTCTCAGCTGAGCTGGGACAAGGCAGGCCATGAGTCCTCCATTTGCATCAGGCCAATTCTTGGCTCTAAGCCCATCCTCCGTTCTCAGGGTCACCTTTTACTTTTTTTTTTTTTTTCCTTGACATCAGGTCTCATGTGGCCCAGGCTGGCTTTGAACCCCCTATGTGGCTGGGGATGACCTTGAACTCCTGATCCTCCTGCCTTCACCTCCTGAGGGATTGCAGGTCTCCACTGGGCCCAGCCAGGAAGACCTCCTTTCTGTGTGAATGGAGCTTGAAAACTAGCTTTGTCTGCGGTCCTCTTAAGATACTGAGTTTCTCAGCCCGATTGTTTCTTGGACAAGGGGAAAATCACGGTCTTCCAGGCTGCACAATGCAGATCTCTCAATATACCACAGCTCTGCCTGTGGCTAGACACTCAGCAGAGGTAGCCTAGAGGCTGCCACACTCTGCCTCCTACACCCACACTACCCTAACATAGCCGACCACAGCAGAGTGGCAGCTTACCAGAGGACGTTTTTTCTGTGAAGGTAAACACTATTGTGAGTGGTAATGACTCACACAATCCTGAAGGTCACACACCAGAAAGGCTTGAGTGTGTTGCTAATGGGCCTGCACAGATCTGGGCCACTACCAGCCAAGACTGGAGATACTGCTTGGGATTATCCAGGTAATTTGACCTGCTTGTGGTTCACGAGCTCGCGGCCAAGGAGTGCTTTTCAGGGAGCGCAGTTCACACTTGCTTGGTGGGCCCTAGGGGAAAGCTACTACAGGAAGACAGAATACCTGGGCGGGAGTGGGGGGCAGACTAGTTACCTCCAAGAGACACTGGCCAGCGGCTCCCAGATGTGAAACAATCACCAAAGCTAGTTGTCAAGACGGGACATCTGCAGGTGATGGTGGGACCACCTCCAGTCTCCTGCAGCTTTGCTTCCATTAGGGGCCACCCTGTCCTCAGAGGGTTACCAGGTCCTTAGCAGGGCCATGTGGGTCTAACATGGGTCAGAATTTCCCAACTCGGTGGGGCTGGATCTGCAATAAAGAGCTAGAGACAGACAAAACAGAGCCATCCTTCCTTCCTCCTTAAACGATTATCTCAAAGGGTTGGTATGGAACAGTCTCCAAGGTATTCCTAAGTCCACGTGCTGGAACCGTTGGTGCTCTTCCCCTTAAGGCTGTGCATGGCTGCACGGAGCCAGGCAGAGGTCAGACAACACAGCTGCTGCTGCTGCTGCTGCTGCTGCTGCTGCTGTCAGGTCATACTACTCCTGACCTCACACTAACGCAGGGCTGGGAGGAGCAGGGAGAGGCTGCCATGCTTGCACTGCTGAGGAAGGGCTCTAGAGAGGACAGCAGGGGCGATCTCACTTGATGTCACTTCCCTAAAACACAGGAGCAGAGACAGGCACAGTTATGGGGTCCTAACCCTGGGGTGGGGGTCCTAGCTGACCCCAGCAACACATACTATGTCATCAGGGGCTGACCTGGCTGTCAGCATTTGTTTGAATTGCTCAGCGATGGATGAGCTGCCTTGGTCACCCCCAACATGCAAGACATGCTCCTTCGGAAGCCTGACCCATCCTGCTCTTCTCTGGACATCCGAGGGGGGCATTCCCCACAGGGAAGGCTTGCCCATGGCAGCTGAGTCCACGGCTGTCAGAAGAGGACTGCTGTGCTCATAGACAGACCTTGACTAAATGTGACTGAAGGCTGAGGAACAGAGAATGAGGTGATGAAGGGTGACAGGAGAGCCTGCAGGCCTAGTTCAAGGTCAGTGACCAGAAAGGCAGTGGCTGGCACAGAAGGAACCTAGGCCACGGGTGGGGTGGATGGGAACAGTCGCTCTGGAGCCAGCACACTGGATGCTGTGGGTCAGACTTGGTCTGGCATGTGGGTGCAGAGGAGGCAAGTCCCTGTGGGTCTTTCAGAAGGAGAGGGCCATGGGCTGGAGCTCCCAGGCAACGTCGCTTCCCTGTGGCCTCCTCACTCAGTCAGATCCATTCTGTGTACTCCAGCTCTGACCAGCTACTCTTAGCAAGGGCGTCACCCTGAAGAAAGCTCTCCCCACGCTTCGTGCAGTCCATGACATATATTGCTGCTGCTGGGAACTGAAGGATTTTGTCTGCTATTGAAGGAGAGACTGTGCTGAGTGGCCAGGTCCCAGGTTCTGTTGGCAGGCCTCTCGAGTCTGAGACAAGGTTGTGGCTGGCAGAATTCTCACTCCTAGAAAAGTGACAGCCCTTGAGCTCTCTTCCAGTTCCTGTGATTTCTAGTTCCTGCCACATGAGGAGGTGGAGAAGAACAGGTAGCCATGACCTTTCAGGAAGGCTCCATGGCCCCTCTGCACAGCTTATGCTCACAGAAAGTCCTGTGGCAGCGAGTGGCAGGCTGTGACCCTCAGTAGTGGTTCTGTTCTCGACTTACCACTGTGTGGCTCCCCTCCTGCACCTCCATGCTCACACGTCCCTGGCTCTCAGCAGGAACTTCGGGGACCCTAGCTTATGTTCCCCTCCATCCTCTGTCTCATCTCATAAGCCTGGTGCTCAAGGATGGGTGGGGGGGTAGACGGTCCCTCATTTTTAGCTGTGTAACCCAAGGGACACCTTGTACATAGAGTGGGGAGCAGACACAGGCAGGGGAGACAGGCTTCCGGAGTCTTTGAACTGCTGGTTCTAGGGCAGCCAGGAGCGGCTCTGGGTGCTGCTGGTGTCATGCAGGGTCATCGCTGGGGTGACAGCTCCTGGGACAGCGGCATGTGCTGACCTCCCTATTCTGTGGCCATTTGTTCAATGTGGTCACTTAGCAGCTTGTATTGCTCTGGAAGAGAGAACAGGATTATTCCAGAAGAGATGGTTGGTGGCCAGGAATGACTTGGCCCAGTCTGTATACGCAGGCCAGGGATAAGTCTACTGACCAGCCACAGTCAGCCACAGGGTGGTAGGTCGTCAGTCACTCCTTGCTACATCTCAGAGCTGAACCCTTGTCAAAAGTATGTGTCCCCAGGATCACACACTTGGAAGTGGGCCCTTGTTCTCAGGAACATGGCCTTTTACAGGAATGGTGTCATGTGCGGAGTGGGACCCAACAGAAGGCAGGCTGAGCCCTGATGGCCACGTGGAGGGGGAGGTAACACTGAGGCTGTCTGATGGCTACAAATGCCCTTGTGCCTGCACAGCTGCTCTTCCTGGCTAGGGACGAGGGCAGGGGTGAGTCACCGGTTCATCAGAACATGGGTCTGAGTGTAAGGCCTTGGCCCAGGAGAACACCAGCAGCAAACAGTTGACACACAAGCCTGGCCGCAGTGCTGAGATGACGACACAAAGCTCTCTGCTGAGGCAGAGCAGTGGACTATGGGGAGCCTCAGAACCCCCCACTATCCACCATCCGGCCCTGACAGCGTGGTTCAAAACCGGATGGCGCTCTAGCAAGTACCAACTTGTGGCCAGGGTTTCACTCTGCACAAATGCAGAGTTAGAATCCAGAGTCATGTTCATTTCTGACCTGGCTGTGCCACATGTCACCCGCCATCCCTCAGCAGAAACGACTTCCAGCTACACAGCCAGAGTGAATGTTCCACGGATTTGGGGAAGAAGGCAAGCCAGGGAAACAGGTTTCCATGACAGGCGCCCTCCTCCTGGCAGGGTGGGAAGCCCCAGTGTGGAGGGCTTGCTCTGGCTCCCACCTCCCCACAATACCCCAGCCCAGCAGCTCACCCTCATCCAGGTTGCCAATCACAGCCTGCTTCTTCAGGAAGTCACTGCACAGCTTCTTGTTCAGGCCAAAGGCCAGCATGTTGTGGGTGAACGTGCTGCAGGAGAAACACCGTGGCCATTACCCTCCTGCTGGCCCAGAAAAGGGAGCCAAGACACTGGGCTCCAACACTGGGGGATGGCTGGGGCATGGGGCAGCATCAGGTGAAAATGTCACCCACACCTCCTAACTGGAATTTGTGCCCCAGGATCAAGAGAAAGACCGACCACCCAGCCCCGTGCTCCTGCGAAATCAGACCCACTCCACCACCCCGCCCTGGTAGGTGGCCCCGTCTGGCTTCGAGGCTCGGCTCTCACCCGAGCTGCCCGAAGGTGATGTTCTCATTGAACCGCAGGCTGTCATCCCGCTCTTCCTGGGTCATGTGGCACCATTTCTCCCTGTGGGCACAGGAAGGACAGGATGGGCTTCAGAATGGCTTGGGACCCTCCCTCCCCTGCTCTGTGGAGCTGGTAGTCCGCACTGCCTCTTAGACACATGGGGACCTGCCTTGGGGGTAGCTTCCACCAGAGCCTGCCGCTAGTCTAGGGATCCCCAAATACCAACATTTACTCCCTGCCTAAGATGAAGAACCACAAAGCTAACGACACTCTGTTGTCCTGGAGACCTGAGAGGGCCTTGGTTACTCACAACCAGGAAACTCAGAGGGGCTAGGACCTTGCCTGGTGTCCTGGGACCAGATGTACAAGGCAGCATCTACAGAAGACCCAGGAATGGGAGCCTGGGAATGTATGACAGCCATACTGTCCTTTCTGCACAGACTCTGCCTGCCTCACAGGGATTCTCCACCATGGCTGTTTCCCACCACGGAGGGGACAGTAACTCCACACTCTGCCTAGAGGCTTCCTGGCACTGGCCTGTGACCATGTGTCCATCATGAAGCCAGTCCAAACTGTAAAGCCAGTGGGGTAGTGGACAGTCTCTAAGAACTGTTCTCTGCACTGGGCAGGTGGCATGGGGTGGGCACCTGGGTAAGGTTGGGGTGTTCTTTTAGGCATCCACCTGCCCTGTGTAGAGGGAAGGCCCAGGAGTAAGATACAAAGTTGCCTATGCTAACTTCTCTGCCACTACCACAGCAAGACCATCACACGTCACCCATCACCCTGGCTTTTCCCCTTCCCAGTGAGGCTCCTGGAGCAGCCCCTCCTAAGAGGACACAGAAGCCCCCTGTGTCTGTGCTCACTGCCCACGTGAAGTCAGACCCTAGTACTCAGAGGACAGACACACTGCTTCAGACAGGAGGAGAGCTCCTTTTGGCCCACGTCCTCCAAAGAGAAGCCTCAGGATGGATGAGCTAACTAAAGTAAAGTTGAGAGAAAGACTGGAGCACAGGGAGAGAAGAAGTAGCATGGAGGAAGGAGAGTCAGTGTGGAGAAGCAGAAGGAAGGAAGGAGGGGCGAGAACAAAACCAAGGGACCAAGGCCCAGGCCTGGCTCTTCCTGGCCCAGGCCACTGACTACTACAGCTCAGCAGGGTGGAGTTCACCTGCAGCTTCTGCATGCTCAGGCAGCACCTCCATCAAGATCCCAGAATGCACTGGAGGGATTGTGCAGCCTGCCAACACCTGCTCGGAGGCTGTTTAGGTACCCACAGCCCCATACCACCAGCAGCCTGCCGTGGACAGATGTGCACAGAGAACCACTCTCTGAGTTGTGTGGCTTAGCAGCTCCGGTCCTTTACGCCTGACCCCATGAGGAAGTGACTCTCCTTGCTGTGGGCAGGACTAAAACTGAGGTGT